TTATTTTGCAACTAATTGAAGAATTAATATAAAAGGATTGAACGCCTGTTGCTCTGCTGGCAGAAAACACCAATTACAATGTTTTTTTTTCCAGTGAACTCCAACTATAAAAGAAATTTAAAAAAAAAAGGAAAAAAAAAAAGAAAAAGAAGGAAGGAAGGAAGGAAAACAACTGGTGACCAGGACACTTTTGAATCTAGAAAGGGTATCACCATTTTTATTTAGCCTGTGAGTGCTCCTTGTTCAACTTCACTGATGATGGAGGGTTCCTCTCCATCCCCTCATTCGGCTACTGTCCCCTTAACACTCTCTGCTATTAAGCGGAAAGCATTTAAACCTTAACACACATTGAAAACGGGAACATTTTCTAATAGCTTGGAGAAGCTCTGAGTCACTCAAACTCTTCCACATTCTTTCCCACATGCTGTAAGACTGAGGCCTAACGTCCCCTGTACAGCCACCCAACTGTCATSCGGATCCTCTGCGCTAATTTACCATTACAAATATTAATCACTGAAAGTAAATGCTACYAAAAACACAGAGTAAAACCATTTTCATTTCCTGTTTCTTATGTAACAGAATAGTTAGGGAGGCCTCAACACAGAGGGAGGCCTCTAGGGATGCCTAKAAAACAAGTCAGATATGGAGGTCTCTAAGTAACTGATGTTTGGATAGGCAGAACTGAAAAACAGAGGCAAGCATCGAAGCTACCTGCAACAAAAGAATCCTTAACTTTCCTCCCTAAAGCAGAACAACAAGAAGAAGGAAAACGCCAGGCATTTGGCTATGGTGGCCACCTGCAAGGCAGCACAGGGGGCAGCGTGGGCAGCGCTGGCGTGAGGCGCTCYCCATGGCCTGAGGAGCCCTGCGCCACCTCGCACAGCCCCTCAACACAGCCCCTAGGCACAGCCCTTAGGCACAGCACCACAAGGGCTCAATTCCTCTTTCTCTCAGCCCCCCAAGACAAAATCTTGCATGTTTAGCATTAATCACAGCACTAGGTTTACTAAATTCTGCTCTTTTTGCTTCTTTTGGGGCAACATGGGGGAACAGATAATACCATCCCTTCTAAACTATTCTAGAATCCAAGTTATCTTCTGGTTCTGGTGCTTCTTCTTTACCAATAATGCCAAAATGCTAAGAGCTATAGACCACACTCATCTCTAAGGTGCTTTTCAGGGGCAGGTCTCACTGAAAAAACATCATGGTAGGTTCAGGAGAACAATCCTTTCCTCTTCCATGCCACTGTTTTTCTTAATTGTGAAAATGATATCATTCCTTTGATAAAATACTTGTCTATAAAACGTGCACACTTAACTTGATTTTTTTTCTCCTTCTAGGGTTAAGGAAAATTAAAAGAAAAAACAAAACAAACAAATAAACTTGGAACAGGAATGCACAATTCCAGGCATAAATACCAAGCAGATCTTCATCTGTACGCTTTCATCTTCCTATTTTAATTTGGATCAAATATATACTTTTTTCCCCCCGCTTCTGTACGTTATGGTCATGGTTCTTCAGGAAAGGTGTGTAACACACATGGACAAGCCAAGGTCCGGAGAGTGTTAATGCTGCTAGGGGCACTCAAACGCCAAGGGGATGATGACCTTGGCGCCAAGAGCCACCCTCCCATTCGGCCACCTCACAAAGCTGGCCAAGCAGGATGTATTCCATACAAAAGTGGTGCCCCACACTTTGTGAATATTCACATTAGGGAACACTACTTCCGAAGCTCCTGCAGGGTTTCCAAGATGTGTCAGAATTTAATCTGGGGCCCAAAATAACAAGAAGGCCACGGGTCACATTCATGGACACTGACAAGGTGTGTGAGGAGCTGGATTCTGTGGATCTCCACAAAAAGATCCTTAGACAGAATGCTAGGTACAGTACGCACACAAAAAGGCAGAAACATGGCGGGTTGCAGGTTATTTAGACCTATGCTTGAAATACTGATGTGTAATGTGCACTGTGCACGTGCACAAAGAGTATCATGGGTCCAAGAGCACCCAAGGATCAACTTGCAGTGCCGCCCCTGACTACACCAGCAGCACAGCCTAACATTACTTGCAGAGTGCTGTAACGACAGAAGGGCTTGCTCATTTCCYGTTAAAAAGCATGTGCATATATACGTGTATAACCCCCAAAAATCAACTCTGTAGGACAAACTAGTTCTGTAGCGGAATAATAAAGCAATAAATACATGTTATTTTTATGAATGTATAAATCAAAGTAAAGTTTTAAAGTTTTCCTGTTAATGGGATTAAAATTACCATCAGTCTTTCCTAAGTGTCTGCAGTACACAGTCACAGCCCATTAAGACAATATGTTAGCACTGTTTGCAACAGGATGTAAATTAAATAATCAGGCAATCAGGACGATTTCAACATCAGTAGAGCCTCAGTGTGATTATTTTGCACAGCCACGACACAATACCTTGTTGCATACTTTCCCTGATCAGATTACAGTGATGATGAGTTCCTCGATGGCTCGAGTGTGCTCCAAGGAAAGCTAGAAGGTTGTACAGTTAACTCCCAGGGTGTAACTCTAAACCATACAACCTACTACCTCAACCCGGATGCACACAGCTTCCGACGGTGACCGTAAAGTCTTCTTCGCTTCTTCAGTATTGCTCTGAAATGCGATGGCCACAGGCCCATAAATTTCCCATGTGGGTAGGCTTTCAACTGCTGAAATTGGTTGCAATCCTTCTCCATAATAAAAAGAGAAGAATATACAGGTGGCAATTCTATCCTGCTTACATATATATATATAAAAACATATGTATGTGTGGGTTTTATATAGATACACACATATATATGTATGTATACATAGCTATTTTTTATATATATATAAAATGCTGCTGTGTATATATATATATATATATATACATACACACACACACACACACACACACACACACACACACACACACACACACATATATATATGTAATTGTAGGAAAGGGTCAGGTCCAACTACATTCCTGGAAAGAAATGGCCATTAGGCCCAACTTAACATTGAAAATCAAGCAGATATTTAAATTATTTTCTTCTTATTTGCATATAATGCCTCATACAGGTATATTAATCAAGCTAGCAAATGTTATACCCTACCCTCAGCCTGTAAAAACCTTTTAATTCGCTCACGTGTGTTTGTTCGTCGCCAGCGCCGACAAGGCGCTAAGCGAAAGGTGCTCGAAAGGGGCAGGTAAAGTGAGACGCCGCTTGCCCAGGCCACGTGGCCACAGTGGCACAGACCCATAGAAGCGAGCTTGTGCGCTGCGTTTCAACACAAGATCGGATCTACGGGTTTGGGCCAGTTGGCACCGCTCGTCGGCGTGTTCCTTTGCCACGGAGGCGCCCCGGACTTGGGGCAAACAAACGGAGGAGGCAGCTGTACTGGCGGGCGCTGAGGAGTAAAAATGCTACAGGCGGCCTAGGAAAGTGGCCGCTCTGGTACGTCCGCATCAACGGTGGATGCGCCAAAGAAGCCCTAGAGCCTCGTCCCACGCCGGGATTGTTTTGCAGCAAAAGCAAGGGCGCGATTTCTGTGGCGGAGAGGCTGCGCGAGAGCGCGCTCAGGACTCGGCAGCACCGAGCGCCCCAACGAGCGTGCCAGGCCCTGTCCAGAGAGCACCCGCGCGCCAGGGACCCCTCTTCACAAGGAGGGCGCGCGGGACCCCCACAGGCCGGTGCCGCCTCGCGCCGAGCTGCTGGCCACACTGCAGCGGCAGGCGCGAGTGCTCGCRCTGCCCGGAGCAGCGGCGGGCGCCGGGAGGGCAGCCCTGGTGCCGYAGGCCGCGCGGGACCTGGCGCTTCCCTCCTCTTGGCAAGTTTCTAGGTGCTGCTTCACACTAACTTGTTGATCAGGCAACGCCTCGTGCTGCAAGCAGGGTTCATTTGTATGCTTTTATTCACTGGTTTTGTGATCGATGCCCTCCTCTAATAACTAAGACTGCAAATAGCAAGGTAATGCTGTGTAATTTCTGGGTTAACTCCTACAGGAAATACGTTCTCCTCGTGTCCGATAAGCAGTACAATACAGATTATTCCACACTAAAAGCAGTATCCTCTGCAACAGGCTGAAAAACCGTCCTTTGAGGCAATCCCCAGTAAGCCAAAAAGGAGAGCCACAGCTGCAATTTTATCACCCACATATTTTAAACAGGAGCACCAGCAAATACTGCATCGCAAAGCCCAGGGCCGGGCACACGAGGATAATCTGTTGCAGCGCAGCCACAAGCACATCTGTGAAGCAGAGGCACAAGCAGCGGGTGCCCCCTAGACACAGGTGCTGCCGAAGGCTCGGGAGCGCTGTGGGCAGCTCCGGCGCGCGTGTGCCCCGCGCGAGCGGCGCAGCGCGGCCCCGCGCTCGCTCCCACGCACGGCCTCATCCTGCCTTTGTGCGGCGGGCAGGAGCCCTCGCAGGAGGGGCAGTGTCAGCCAAGGGCCGCCATGCGCTTTAAAGCAACGTGGATTAAATCCTGCAAGGTCTAGCGCAATCTCACTGCATTTTAGAAATCATTCTCATAATGAAGATTTTAGAAGAGTTTATCTTTTGAACTTTCATTCTACATACAATTCTGCATTCAGACACTGTTGTAATTATTTTCTGCTGCTGCTGAAAAGTTAGAATATGTAAAGCAAGATCTCAAATTAAAATATTTATGGATACATGCTGCATAGGTACTTTTGTTGAATGATCCGTCTAAACGCTGAGGGATTCCTTCTCAGATTATTTTTTTAGTGAACAGAAGAGATATTCAGCATTCCAGAAAAAAAAATTCATTTTCATTATACACAGTTAAATACATGCTATAGATTTACTAGACATAACAAAGACAAATTTTATATTCACCTTATACTTTAGTCTAAAGCTTCATAGAAACCAACAGTTATAAAGTCTACCCAAATTGCAATACTCTCAACAGACAGTAATCAGAAAAAAAAACTTTCACTCTTTAACAGATATTAGAAATATATTTAAGATCACTGTATTACCTTCGCTGAATTCTGATATATTCGACTGCTTCAATTGTCGTTTTCATTTATATTTTTTTCTCTAAAAAGAAGAAAAAAGTTTCAAACATCTGCTCTATGAAAGGTGCTTGCAGAACAACATGAAGCAAAATTAGCAATTCTGCTTTTAAGACATACAACTGGCACAYTGCTGACGCCCCTCTCCAAAGGCCACGTGAAGACACGCTGTAAACACACACACTTTGACAAAGGGACTATTTCATTTAGTATTTCCTAATTCCTTCTTCACTCAACAAATATTTTACTTTTATTAGCAATTCCAGAAGTGGAAGATGAAGCTTAATAGAAATAAACAGGTTGTATCAAATGGTGCTCATCAGAATGTAATTTGATATGCAGCTTTGTAAAAAAATATCAGGATAAACTGAATGGGTTAAATTAAGAAATGCTTGTAAACTTTAGGAAAACAAGATGCAATTACTATGCTAAAATTTACAAATGAAAAATGCTCTTTCAAGCAATGAAGGCATTGTTTTTTTCAACAGACATAGCTATTAAAAGACCTATTTAATTATTCTAACAAAACTATTAAGAAGGTAAACATCACCATGAATCTTATAAACACATTCTTGTATAAATGGGTGAATGGAGGTATATGTGTCATATACATATGATCTCCATCTAGTCATTTCCCAGAGTTCATTGCATAGCAATAAAAATATAACGTAGTAAAATTCATACATAATCTTAGAAGTTACTACCTAATCACTAAAGTATAAAAAGAAAAAATACATCTTAAAATAACCCTATTTTTAAAGCCACCAARGCTTTTTATTAGAGAGACATCTATCAGGAACAATTTAAGAAACGTATCTGCATTTCTGATGAAGAGGCAGGATAGATTTCAAGGTAGTGTCTAGCTGAGGACTTCCGTATTTTTAACATAAATGCAAAAGGATGGGAAATCCTTTTTTTTTTTTTTTTYYCCCCCAAGAATCCAAAATATGTAAAACACTGATCTGGCTTTTTAAACTGTATCAGACCAAATGGATTTTGTTGCACATCATTTTGATCACCCAGACATCACAAAGGAGAGACAAATGCCTTTAAAAAGCGTGTGCTAGAGCAATCACCGGCTCTAAACTCACAGCAACTTTGCCTGCCCTTATCACAGCCCTGCTGGGCGCAGACCCCGAGCAGTGTTTGCAGCTGCCCTGGGACAAGTGCTGCTCCACCAAACACCTTAGGACAGCGGCTCCCTGCAAGCCCGGCTTCCCGCAGGAACGTCCCAAGAAGGTGCCTTTTATGACAGTGCTTAAGGCACTGGTTTCTTTGCAAGGGATTTAGATACAAAAAGGTAGAAACTCAAATATGAATTAACTCAGTCGTAACTCTAATACACCGATTACGAGTGAGGCTTTCCTATAGTTTAATGCGTATTTTTGCTTTCTCTCTCTTTCTGTAAAGTCTTAGTCCTGCTATACAGAAAAAGAATTTGCCTTCCTTAGCAAGCAGACCCAAATAGCCAAAACTTCCCTAGAGATAACCAAAGCTTATACTAAATAAATGTAACAGAAAGATCGTTGCACAACTCAAGTACTTAGCTAAGATAAAATGTGCCTAACCACTTATTTCTAGAAGTGCTCATTTTTTTGTTTACTTTCTATTTTTAGCAGTATTTTATCAAACAAACCAGAAAAGTTAGTTTAAAAAAGTGCCATCTTAGCTTAGACTTAGCTAAAATTAATACACAAGGACTCAGTTTCAAAACAACATTTAAAATGAAAAAAAAAAAGGAAGAAAAGGAAGGAGAAAAAAGAAAAGAAGCTATACCTGATATGAAAGGTACGTTTTCACCCAGTGCCAAATATTGCTACATTAAGCAACAGCCAAAGAAACAAACAAAAAAAAATCCTTCTTTCTTTTTTTGTTTCTGCTAACGGAATCAATCACTTAGGCTCAGTTTGCTATATTGTTTTAAGAAGCTCTAGCACATCCTGATGTCTCTGCAGTTTAACGTGCCAGCTTTTCTTTCTTTCTTTCTCTTTCTTTCTTTCTTTCTTTCTTTCTTTCTTTCTTTCTTTCTTTCTTTCTTTCTTTCTTTCTTTCTTTCTTTCTTTCTTTCTTTCTTTCTTTCTNTCTTTCTTTCTTTCTTTCTTTCTTTCTTTCTTTCTTTCTTTCTTTCTTTCTTTCTTTCTTTCTTTCTTTCTTTCTTTCTTTCTTTCTTTCTTTCTTTCGAAGCAGGAGAGTCACTTCCCCCCCCCCTCCCCGCTCCTGCACTCTTATATGTAGGACAGACTCAGATTTGCTTCTTCTTCTCGGGGACTCCTGTTATTTCCCGGAACCGGACCCGGGTGCCCGTCGTCGTGTTCGCTCTCCTCGGGATTCCAAGCACAAAGCGCTGCGCCAAAGCGGCCCCAGTCCTTGCCGCACCCGAGCTGGGCAGCGAGCAGCACATGCCGCTCGCCTCGGGTGCTGCTCCGAGAAATGGGGATTGCCCGGAGCTGCTGGAGCAGAGGGGTGGAAAGGCAGGGTGCCAGCTTGCTATACCGCGCCGCAATGATCTCATGCGCAACGCTGTCGCCCCGTTTGCCCGCTTCAAACGCCTGTTCGTTAAACAGGAGGGGGGAAAAAAAAARGRAAAARGGRAAAARGRAAAAAAAMCACAAAAACTTTCATCCTTCAGACACTCAGGAGGGCTGTTCTAAAGTACAGATGAGCAATAAAAAGCACAACTTGCAGTTTTAGCATTCAGTTATGAGGTCTAAATATTCTGCTTATATTTTCTTTCTTTCCTTTCTCTGTTTAGAGATAAGAAGCAGAATTTATCAGGCGTGAAAGGGACAGCCTCCTGGTGGTGTGCCAAAAAAGCCAGAATAAAGGCAAAGTTGTGCTTCAAAGCTCAGTCGCTTGCTGAGTCTGGCTAAAGTCAAGTATTAGGATCCACCATTTTCTGAGCCATGCAAGAAAAGAGGAGGAACAAAAAAAAAAAAAAAAAAAAAAAAAAAAAAAAAGAAAAAAAAGAGTCAGGACGGGCGCCGCTTCCCAAGTCTCCGTTGGCACCATCACAAAATCTCAGCCGTGGGGTCACATGATGCTCTGCCAAATGTGGAGCGCATTCCCATAAACCATTCTGCTGATCCCGCGAAGGCGGCTATTGTCTAGCCTGGACCCAAAGTTCAGCCCACTCTTGGTTGAATTAGCTGAGAAACGCATCACCTTTGGGGGTTGGGAGCCATGGAAACGTCTACCTGGCAGGCTGCCCACTCTCTCTGCCCATCCGCCAGGGAGGGCCGGGATTGTGCTGCTGCCTAACGCCACGGTGACGGGGAACGCGGGGAGCCGTCCAAAGGGAATCTGATGCTCGCAAAGGCGGCTCCGTGTGCGCGGCGAACTCGGGCTCCTTGGCGTTAAAAGGCAGTGGGGGGAGCCTTCCTCCTAAGCGCAGCAATTAAGGGGCGAGTAAACATGCCTCGTCTGCAACTTTACTTCATAACCTACCGAAACGCTGCCCCGGCTGCAGCACGGAGCATAACGCGAGGCTCCTGATTTAAAGCAGCGCTCCTTTCTCCCCGCGTTAGCACAGCATTCCCCGGGCATTTATTTTTCTCCCTAAGACGAAAAGTCTACGATGTGGCAGATCTCCCCTCTCTTTATTACCTCCCGATTTTATCTCGCTTAAATTACACGTGCGTGCAGCAATACCGCCCGGTACCAGCGGGGATGCAGTACTGCTGCAGTCTGCCTCTCAARGCAGCCTCCCGAGAGCGCCGGCTGCGTTCCCACCGCACAAATCCCTTCACTGGGATGCCGGGCACCACGTTTGCCAAGGGGCACATTTGAGAGCCCTCAGCACCCTCCTTGCTGCTAGACGCTGCTCATCCGGATCCCCTCGACAAGAGATGCGGTCGGACAGGGTTTGTAAGAGGAATGATATTAAATAGGTTGAATAATGGTCATTAACTCCTCTGCTTCAGACCTGAAATTTCAGATTTGCCCCTCCACTTCTTCTCAAGTAAAATGTCATGTAAAATGCCCCTTTTTGAATGAAAATACCACATAATGAACGACACTGTCCCCGCACGCACCTAAAGGAAACATACAAAAGAATGGATGTAGGAACCCAGTGTTGTCACCAGCTGAACTTAAATCCRGGCAGCGTTTCCATGCACGACAGCYTAAGGGTCACTGCAAAATACATGTTAAAATGTTGCAACTTCCTTCCTTTTGACAGGRATAAAAACAGGCACACCGGAGGAGCCCTTCCTACCTATGGGCATTGGCAGGCAGTGGCACCAAGCACACACGAGCAAGGACAAGGCTGCTTTCCAAGCAGCTGATGGCCAAAGCTGGTAGGGAACAGCAGACAACGGCTCTGGAGCCAGGAAGGGCAGCGGGCGGAGAGGAGAAAACCCCCTTTCCAGTCACGCAGGCCCCTGGCCAGTCGTGCAGGCCTGCACTGCTCCAGCTCTTCACTGCCTTCCCATTCCTTTTATAGCTCCTTTCGGTTTCGCTTTTATTCCCTCAAGGCAGCTGAGGGTGGGCCAGGGAGGAGGTGTGAGAAGGGTGTTTGAAGCGGGAGGAGAAGGGGCTGAGGGCCCTTCCAGGCGCCCGGAGACGGCCCCTCCTCTGGCACTCACAGGCCTACGGCGCAGGGAGCCAGGAGCACCTGGAGGCTCCCTGGTGCCCCRGGGTGGTCGGGATGAGCCCTGGATCCATGGGACAGGAGGGTGGGCCCGGGTGAGCAGTGCGGGAGGAGCTCCCACCTCCTCCTGAGGAACGGGGAAGCCRCCGCATGGCGGGCAGGGAGGCAGAGGGGAGCGGGCAGGAGCGGGGAGATGCTGCGTGCAGTGATCTGGGGCAGAAATGACCCTCATTCTCCCTGTCCACTGAATGCATCTGGGATCTCCCTCTCTTTGGATGTGGGATCCCTCTCGCAGCTCTGGATCTGCAGCCCCCATAAATCCACATACAGCTTCATGTTGCCCCTTCCCAGTGCGGGCGCTTCCCAAGGGCCTGGAGCAGAACAGCCCTGCCGTAGAGCGACGCTGCCAGAGCTCTCCCACATTCCCCGTCGGAGCA